AAACCACTGCTGGCCACATGTGGTTGCTCACTCTGACAACTGCAAAAGGCTGATCATTCCTTCCCCTGCGGCTGCCCATGCTGCTGCTTGCAGACACTGCTCACAGCAGATGTCTCAGCTGTGCATTACCCTGCATCAGCTGTGCAGAAGGATGCAAAACGTATTAGAGCCATGCCAAGAGTGCTGTAGAGCCACGGTGCTGTAACAAAGCTCTTGAGGTTGTTAATCCAGTCCTATTTTGTCCTTTCACAAGCTCCAGGAACCTCACAAGTTGGAGGTGTTTGAGTCAGTAGCACTGATGGCAGCAGCTCCCACTGCTTGATCAAGGACAAATCTGGCAAACATTCCTCCAAAACCTCCCCTTGAGCCCCTATCAACCCTGATCAACAACTTCCCTTTCTGTCCTCTGCATGCACTCTTCCTTCCAGCCACAAACACTGTCACTACTACATGGCAGTGTCATATAAAGCCTTTGGAAAAAGGGATGTGGGAGTGCTGACACTTGGCTGGAGAAACCCAGGGCAAGGAGAACACTGCAAATGAAACCTGAGTTATATTCCTCTTTTTCTGACCATTTTCCCTGGTAGTTTTTCATGACAGATGAACTCTCTGCAGAAGCTCACACCTTGGCTGCTCAGTTTGAAACCCAAGCTAGTTTCTGTGCCAGCACCACTCTGCACAGAAAACATCTGAGCAAGATCCTTTCAACTCCTAAACAACGTCATCGATCTGTCCTCCTGCTCCAAGTCCAGACAGGAAAGGGATTGCTGCTTAGGAGCCATCACGAAAAAGGCACACTGATTTGGAGAGGTGCAAGGGAACAGGGTCACACTGCAGTGAGGGTCAGGAGGGTCTTCACAACCCCAAAATGCTGCTTTCCCTCTCTGGCTGAGGGAAGAGCGCAGACACGTATGCTCTCTGGCACAGCCATGGCAATCCTGCCCTCGCTGGCTGCTAAATAAATCTCTCCCTACTGCACGTTCCCCGCAGCCACCCGGAGGTGAAGAGATCAGCAGAAACAAGGTCACAGCTGTGTGCTCTCTGTATGTGGCACCCAACCCGGAGCACAAACACCGCTCGGCAGAAGTGACACTGGCAGGTGCAGAAACGTCTCCCATCGCTGCCCAAAGGCCAGAATGTGTTGTGGGGTCCTGTACCTAGACCTGCTGAAAGCATTCGCCACAAAACCAAAGCGGGAAGCTGCTTAAACGCTGAGATATTGCTGCATCTTCCATTAGGCTGAAAACTAGGTGAGTTAGGGCCATTTTGTTACCGCTTTGATACCGAGCACAGCAAGGCGTTGGTCTCCAAGTGGAACTTTTGCCCATCCCAGCAATAAATAACAGTGGAAATAATGACTTGCTACAAATGGAAAAGCTCGCTACGATGCCAAGAGTAAATAAGCAGAATCTCTCAACCTTTCCACATCTCTCAACGTGTTCAATCTGCCATCTACTGGCAATTGCTCACCTCCTTCCACAAAGCCCAGGAGGGAAATCTGCAAAGCCCTGCATTTATCCCATCAATATAATTTTGAAATTTTTGTTGCGGGATGAAAGATTAGGGATTTGCTTCCCAACTGTCATGCACATAAACCAGATCCCTGCCTGGCTAACAGCAAGTCCCAGTGCATGGGTTCCTGAGACAGCAGGGAGGTAGCAGAGTGGGGCAGTGGGATTTAAGGAACCACACACACACACACACACACACACACACACACACACACATCCTCCTCCAGATGCTGTGGGAGAACACTGCAGTGAACACCTCCAGAAATAAACAGCACAGGAGGAAGGGCTCCAAGGCTGGCCTCACCTCTGTGTCGTCGCTGTAGATGTAGTAGAGGACCCGGATGAAGATGTCTTCTGAGATGTTGTGGAGAGTCACCACTGGGATGCTGGGCTGCGTCTGCAGCTCCTCACTCTCGCTGAAATGGTCTTCAAGAAGGGCTTTGAAATAATCACTGCGACCACAGAAAAACGCCTGGAGAGGGAAGAAAGACCAGAACGTGAGCATCTTTCTCACTCAACCAAACCAAACAATACCACACACCAGCTGTCAGAGCAGCTCACAGGTAGTTTGGAAGTTCAGACTCTTAACTCTGACTGTCCCTATATTTTGAAGGGGCATCTCCTACATTTTTTCACACCTTATTTCTATTCGTACCTACCATTAGAACAAGAAAAACCAAAAAAAATTGCAAACTTAAGAGATTCTCAGGTAGTATGGCCTGAGGGCAGGAGGTTGAGTTGAGGCTGTATCTCCAAATCCATTCTGTTTCCTTGCAGATCAAACATGCCCCTCTCCAGACACTGAACTCATGAGCCAGCAGCAGATTTTGCAGCTGTGAATGCTGCAGCTGAATCCATAAATTTGCCTCCTCACCTCTGCAAGAAAGGCAGGGCTTGCTCTTTCGCTAAATGCTTTAACTATAGCTTCCAGCTGCAGCAAGACTTTTGGTTTTCCAGCTGATGAAGCAATGCTGCTTCTGTAGATGATATCCAGGGCTGGGTGAGCGGGGAAAGCAGCAGACACAACTCATGGCAAAGAGGGAGGAGAACAAAAGTACAGCACAAGCACGTACCTTATGGCACAAAAAGTTGTAATCTGCCACCCGGAAACACACGTCGGGACAAGTGTTGAAGTTGTCGGTGCTGTCAAACGGCAGCTCCCCAAAACCAACCTGGGAAGAGAAAGCAGAAAACACCACCTCTAACATTAACGCTTTAAACACACCCAGGGTCCCCAGTTTGGACTTCGTGGTCTTCCCATAAGCAACAACCCATCCACTCCCTCAGCAAAGTGCCACAGAGATTGCAGTGTGAGGAGCCGATAGGGATATTCCTGGTACAGGTTACAGCTGCCTCCCTTATCCACGGGAACTCCCTGACCCTCCATACACTTCTGGAAACATTTCTGTGCCATGTAACGAGGCAGAAAACCAAGCGGAGGTGAAGTTTACTTCATGTAGTGGGTATCACAAGCATACCAGAGCTTACCACTAGCCCTTTACTGTGTAGATGCACAAACAGAGGTAGTGATGCACAGATCCATACACTCGTTTGAAATGGTTTGGTTACAATTACTGCCTCACTTGAATAAATCCAACATCTCCAGAGCACATTTTACATATTTCATTCGATTTGCAGCCAAAGCCAGTGTTGTTGCAGCATTAATACTCTGGTTAATGAGTTTAACACCAACACACCTCCTCCCAGTCCTGCGTGCCAGCAAAGACAGCACACACACAGAAAAAAAAAAGAAATCTGCTGGCCTTATGTTGTTTTAAAGTGATGCTTCCAAATGTTTTCACTTTCACCTAATCCTATCTATAGGGCGATTCAATTGTAAAAAAAAGCTTCTATTCACAGCCATGTAACCAAGACAATTCTTAACCTCTGGAAGCAGAAGTCTCCCCTGGTTCTTGCTGTCCAAACACACACGAGCCACTGAACACGGCGATCTGGCCCCGTTTGTCAGGCTCTGTCTGTCCACAGCAGCATTTGGCAGCTGCCGGTTCCTGATCACAAGAGTAGCCCCAGGGACATCCACACTGCGCCCTTGGCTGTCACAGCAACGCTGTCCCTCCACTGCCCTGTGAGTCCGTCCCCATCAGGACACTCCTCTTCTGGGAGAGATGCAGCAGTTCAAGGCAAACTCCTGCTCCCTGCTTTTCATACGGCTGAAACAAAGGGCACCTGCAGCACTGAAGATGAGATCAGTGTCCCAGCTGCAGACTCCCCAGGCTATTTTGTGTTATCTGTGTCTCGTGTCTCAAGGAAACAGAGCAGTTTGGGATCTGCAGCCACGCTCTCTGTGGCTTTCCATCACAAATGTGAGTAGTCACTCCAATCCCTGCTCCATTTGCCTTGCTGCTATCCCACAGCTTCCATGTCCTCTCCTAGAAATTTGGGCATGACTTCCACGGTTACAACATTGCAGGCACATCACAGGTAAAGACGGGCTCTGATGAGATGCCACTCTTTGGAGCACAGGAATTTTAATTGAGACATAAACTCCACATCTCCTACGTGCATCCCTTCCTTGCTCCACTTTCATAGCCCACAGGTGAGTCTTGAAAAGGAATCCATCCCTCTGCCATGGACATGGGAGTTGTATTTGTCTTCTCCAGGCTCAGTTTCCTGCTTCCAGCCTTGCCTGGTCCCTGTTCTGATCCTCAGGTTCCCAAGGTCATTTCCAGTTCCTACTACAAAAGCAGGTTCATGTCTTTGTCTCTCCTATTCAGCGTGAAGTGGCTTTGCAGAATTTCCCCTTTCAAGCCTCTGCCTCTTCTCCTCTCCTCCCTTGTCACACTCCACGAATTTTACCTCATTTTCAGGGTCTCCTTACTGAAAACTGGATTATTCCTCCCACCCCCTCATTTGGGAAACCTCCTCAGCGTACCCCTGTCCAGGCAAAGCACAACTGCCCAAAAAGCACAAAACAACCGAGCCTACGAGATACAAACACATTCACAACAACTCATTCACTATACAGAAAGATTCTCAACATCTCTATAGCACAAGACTGCTCAAATATCCACAGGATCTTGCAGCCATCGCATGTCGAAGATCACATCACTGCTATGAGTTTGCTATTGGCACTTAAACAGAAATGTTGCTGGAGGCAAGAACACACCAAACAAACCAGAGCAGCAATTTGTACCCTAGCCAGATTATCTCAGCAAAAAAAAGGGTAAATGAATTACAACACAAAATACAGGGGTTAGTGATCCAAGAGAAGACTACCAGCCCATAACCAGATGCAAGTGGATTGGATTAAAAAAAAAAACAACAAACAAATAACAAAAAATTAGGAGCATATTGTGAATAATTCAGTTAAGCTGCTTTTGCCAAACAGGCACAGCAAAGCACAGGAACCACGTGGAGACAAGATGGAAACCACCTTCTTGTGTCCGACTGCTCTTTCTCCGCATTACAAGGTTGAGCTTTACCTCTAAAGTGACAAATGGTCACATCTTCCTGCAACCACACCAAATGTCAACACGGCTGGAGAGAACAGTATTTATTTCATGGCAAACTCTGATCCTTCTAGGTCCAATTTCATCTTGGTTTGGAAGAGAAGATGTTCCCAAGAACAGCGATGTTTGTAGGTGACCACTCGGCTGTCCCTGACATTTTAGGCTATGTAGTTTGTACTGTTCCTTGCCTGGCATCAAACCCTGTAAGGATGAGGATGTGCGATTCCTCTGTCCCAGAACAGCGATGCTCAATTCACAGAATTTAACAATTTGCAAAGATTAAATGGCAATAGGATGAAGAGCTTTGTTCATCTATTCTTGGTAAGTTAACAAAAAAGCTTGTATGGGAACAAGCAATCAAACAGAAAGCATTCTTTTTATTTGTGAGGTGTCTTAAAAAATCATGTAAATCCCATTGTTTTGGGGCCCATGATCCTTTCTTTTAATTTCTGGGGAGGTAAATCCAAGGCTTACTTATAGTATCACCTCCCTTTAAAGCCTGCAAACATACAGAAAAGTATATTGAGAGCCACAGTTAAATTCACAGTTATTTGGGGAAGGCAGGTAAGAGAGGAAAGATTTCTGCATTAGTAGATGGAAACTTGAAGGAGAAAAGCTCCCTCTGTAAAGTGCTCAGAGAAATACATTTGCCAAAAGCCAGCACAAAACACGCTGGTTCATTACAGGTAAGAACATTACCCACATACACACACACGCTCGCTGCACCAGGCAGGTCTGTTCGGCAGGGGACACAAAGGAAAGAGGCAATAAACTTTGCTCCATCACTCAGTCATACAATGTCTGGGTACAGCAGCCACCTGAAATGAGTTCGTGTTATTAAATTCAGTGCTTGGTATGAGAGGGGGAAGAAAGGACAGACGTAGGAGCAAAGTGAATGTGCTGATGTTACAGAAAGCTGCAGATGCGGGGAGAATGACCACCACTGGTATTGACTCTGTTCTCCTGCAACGGGGAGCAAAGATGCACATATCTGACCATAGCTAATAACCCCGATGGTATTTTAACTTAGAGATCACCAACCTGTGGCTTGTGGGCTATTTCTAAGTGTCAACAAAATGTAGTTATGAAAAGCAAATCCATTGCCAGGCAAATTAAATTTCCCTCAGCAGGACTCACGTTTCCGTTGGAAATACATTCAGGGTTTTTAAGCATCTCTCCACTCCTAGCAAGCAAGGCCAGCAGCACATCTTCCATCTATCTGTCCCTTTGGGTACCAATGCCTGCTGATAAAACATCGCTGATACTCGGGAAGGATGGCAAAAAGAAGGAAAAGGAGCTGGGAACCAACTCCTGTCCAGTTGTAGTCAATGAGGAAACCCCTGCTTGGGGGAACGACCCAAGGGAAAGGACCAGCACTGACAGCCCCATTAAACAACTTTACAGCATTTCCAAGCAATAAAAGGCTTTCAGCATTTGGAGCACCAGCAAACAAGCAGGCGCTAGACTCAAAAAGAAGAGAATACAACCGAGCACACGCGAACACAACCCCCAGCACCAGAGGGACCAGAAGCAGTGTAAACGCTGCCTACCCGCAGTTCGGCTGGCAGGGCGCAGTCTGCTAGCAGAGCCAGATCTTCCTGCAGCTGGCAGTTCCCCGGGGGCTCAATCGTCAGCACCTTCACACATGTCCCTGGCTTGGAAGAGACTGGAAGAAGCAAAAAAAACCAAAAGAGCAGAGATGCCTAAATCCCTCTACATTCTCTCCCATTTAGAAAACAGGAAGACAGTCCAGGAAAAGTCAGTATTATTGCCGTTTATCTTTTACTGCAAAACACACGTGATTCTCCTGTGAAAATACACACACAGCACCCCTTGGTACAGCTGGCGAGCAGGGCTGGAAGGGGGATGGACATGGTGCTGTCTCTTCTCAAACCTCCACCTAATTCCTGGTGCTGGAACATCAACTGTGGCAAACACAAAGTTGCTGCAAGGATATTTCAAGCCTAACTTGCTCTCTGCGGTCTTTGTTATCAATCACAGCTGAGGAGCACTGATCCCAGTAGGAGCCGTCCATGCAATGCCTTCCCCAGCTGACCACCCCGACACCACCACCAGTGTCACCAAGGGTGAAGCCCATGCCAGGGGGTATTTAGTCAAAATAAAGCTGTCTCCATGCCTCTCGGCTCTGTCCTGTGCTCTCATGGGTCCCATTCCCCTCAGTTCAAGGACAGGGGACTGCTGGAGAGAGTCCAGCGTAGGGCTACAAAGATGATGGAGGGAGTGGAGCATCTCCCTTATGAGGAAAGGCTGAGGGAGCTGGGGCTCTTTAGTTTGCAGAAGAGGAGACTGAGGGGAGACCTCATTCATGGTTAGAAATATTTAAAGGGTGAGTGTCACGAGGATGGAGCCAGGCTCTTCTCGGTGACAAACAATGATAAGACAAGGGGTAACGGACACAAACTGGAACACAGGAGGTTCCACTTCAATTGGAGAAGAAACTTCTTCTCAGTGAGGGTGACAGAGCCCTGGCCCAGGCTGCCCAGAGAGGTTGTGGAGTCTCCTTCTCTGCAGACATTCAAAACCCGCCTGGACGCCTTCCTGTGTAACCTCATCTGGGTGTTCCTGCTCCGGCAGGGGGATTGGACTGGATGAGCTTTGGAGGTCCCTTCCAATCCCTAACGTTCTGGGATTCTGTGTGCCAGCCTAACTTCACTCCAGGAAACAAAGGGATTTATTCTTGTTTAGGTAATAAGCTCTGTGCACACAAATCTGTCCTCTACTCTCTACCTATAGATCCCCAAAGACCCCCAAAACACCTGGACCCCCGAGCGTGCCCGTGTTCTTAGCAAACATTCAATAAGCATCACTACCAACAACAAAATCAAATAAACCATACATAGACACCAATTCATTTGCCTTTTTCAGACCTAGCGTGTCTTCCTGTACTGCCCTAACAGCCCACACATCTAAACAGCCTAATAAAGGGGAAGCAAAATACACCATCATACTTCTGCAGCCTTGCTATGGCCAAAATTGCTGTGGAGCTCATAGAAGCCAACCTCTCCCAACTTCAGATTTCGGGCAGCTCAAAGTACACCCAGATATTGTCTTACAACACCGCTGCCAGTTCAGCCTTTCCTCTTCCTGGCCACCTCCCTCCTGCAGTTCACTACCTCAGCTCTGCTTTCAGCTCAGCACACTCTAGGGTGAGGATTGGGGCATGAAAGACATTCAAGAGCCCCTGACATGTAGGGAAGCGTGTGAAAAAACACAGAGCACCACTGGAAAGTGCAAAGTTGTGGTAAGGACGGTTCAAGATGCTGCTGGGCGCCAGAGAGGCACAGAGTTAACTCTCAATGACAAAACAGTTACGCAGCCCCGCATTGAGGCATTCAGCAGAATTTCTGACAGGCGTGATTCACCACATTAAAACCCCTCGCACTGAATCACACCACCTCGAGACCTTTTCCCTGACATTTTGTGCAGCATTATACAAGCTCCATCGGATGACTCTACTGGGCCGTGGGCGAAACGAGACCACGATGTGCCACAGAATGAGTCCCCCACCCTTCAGATACGCCACCACCGTATCTCAAACAGGCTGAATAGCCCAGAAAGATCCTAGAAAGAGGAGGATAATGTACCAAGACAAGACAGTCAGGTACAGTAGGATGGAGCCAGGCTGCTCTATTAGCACTAAACATCACCATTGGATAGATGGGTAAATAAGCCAAGAGGAGACCTGGCATCAACCCAAACCTGACCAAGAGCATTTTCTCCAAGTCTTGTCCACTTACAGACCAGCATGAGAGCAAGAAACTTCTTACCATGCAATCACAAGTTCTTTATGGCAGAGAGAATCATTTGTATTTGTGTAATGCCTGTTGTAACAGCTGACAACTCGGGCAGGCTCTGTAAGCACTAACGGACCTGGCGAGTTCTAAGCAGTAGTCA